CCTGCGACGACTTCACGTGACAAATTTAGATAGGAAAGATAGTACGTTGTTATCCATGAACTAGCTGGTTAGGTGACCAATTGCTAAACAGAAGACAGAAGATGAATCAGTATTAATTTATCTCGATCGAGAAAAGAAGCGACTAACTATTATAACATGTGACAAAAGATTGATTGGTCGCCTATGGGCTACGGTCACGGAATCTCCACTGCATGGAATCTTCACAGAAAAGCAAGCCTTAATTATATAGTGCAACCGTAGCTCTCGCAGCCTAGCTACCAAATCTAACAAGGAAGATAGCCATCATATTCTCCATTAGGGCGTGACATGGCCTCCATAGCTATGTTTTGCAACATTAGCATTCTTGACCAAAACTGGTATTACCGCCTTCCGTCAATCTTGGCGTCATCCTTCACCATAGCATTTCTGCTTCATTACCTCATCCGGAGGTTTGGCCGGCATCACGGCCGTGACCCGCCAAGCCCACCGGGTCTCCCCATAATCGGCCACCTTCACCTCATCGGCGCCTCATTCCCCAAATCCTTCCAGGCCCTGGCCTGCCGCTACGGCCCACTAATCCGGGTCCGCTTGGGCTCCGAGGCTTATCTCGTCGCTTCCAGCTCGGCCGTCGCGGAAGAGATCTTAAAGACCAACGACGCTTGCTTCCTCTCCAAGTTCGAAACCGGTCCGACCCACTTCAACATATATCGGGGGACCGGGTTCATCACCGGCCCGCACGGGGACTACTGGCGGTTCATGAGGAAGCTGTGCGTGACCCGTCTATTCGGCGGGGCCCAGTTTGACCGGTTCAACAGCATACGGGAGCAGGAGCTGGCCAAGCTGGTCAAATCTTTAATGAAGTGGTCGGAGGAAGGCCGGGCCTGTGATTTGAACGTGGAGCTCGAGACTCTGGCCAACAATGTGGTCTGCAAGATGGTGATGAGGAGGAGATTCCTGCTGAGCGACCTCCGATGTAAGGAGATGAGGAGGATGGTGTCGGAGATCATGGACATCGCCGGGAAGTTCGGGGTCAACGGGCTTTTCGGGGTGCTGAGCAAGGTTGACTTGTTTGGGTATGGGAGGAAGCTTCAAGAGGCGCTTTGGCGGTATGACGATGTGATGGAGGAGATAATGAAGGACTATGAGGAGAATTCATTTGGGAGTAGTCGTACTAGTGGTGTTGAAGGAGAGAAGGATGTAATGGATATTTTGTTGGAGACTTACAGAGATGAGAATGCTCAAGTGAAGTTGACAAGAAAACAAATCAAGCATTTCATTATCGTAAGCTTTCTTTCGACTCGATCACAGGTTATAGATATATCGAGAAATATGTTACACTTCAGTTTCTAAAAACTAAATCCTGACTCCGCCCCTATATATAATACAGGAATTGCTTATGGCGAGCATTGACACTTCAGCAGCAACCCTACAATGGGCAATGGCGGAGTTGATTAACCGTCCCAACATATTCAAGAAGCTAAGGGAGGAGATCGATTCGATCACAGGGGTCAATAGACTGGTTAAAGAGTCAGACGTCGAGAATTTGCCATACTTGCGAGCCTTGGTCAAGGAATCCTTAAGACTCCACACGGCAGCACCAATGATACCTCGAGAATGCAACCAAGACTGCAAGATCAACGGTTTCAAAGTGAAGTCCAAAACTCGGGTGCTGATCAACGCCTATGCAATAATGAGGGACCCGGACATGTGGGAGGATCCAGACAAGTTCATGCCAGAAAGGTTCTTGCATGGTGATGATGATGATGATTTCAGGTTCCTGCCATTTGGGGGAGGGAGGAGAGGATGCATTGGCTATACGCATGTTTATATGATAATGCACACGACAATGGCGGCGTTGGTTCAGTGCTTTGATTGGAAGGTCAAGGATGGAGAACACGTTGATATAGGTGTGGCATTAGGTTTCACCGGAGCCATGACACATCCTCTCCTTTGTTATCCTACCGCACGGTTTCACCCATTCTAATTAATGAAATGATGATTTTATATGTGGTATTTTAACATAGAGATCAAGAAATACATATCTAATTATTTTGAAATTTTGTTAAGTTGTCTTCAAAATTCAAATGATTTGTATGTAAATTAAATGCTAAATTTGACTATGGGTGCTAGGAATATGCGGATATTTTATAAAAATCACTACAAGAAGCCGTTGATTTAGTGGGTTTAATCAAATTTGGAGTAGTCGCCGGAAAATGTTCGGGTTTCAGAGAAAAACTCCCATGTTCAGCTACCAAAGATAAGACAGTCTAACGGTAAAGTTGTCGCGATAGTGAAGGATTAGGAGTTGCATATACCAGTTTTGAATCCAAGCGAGGCCCGTTGGTGTTCCCGGAGGTACAAGACTGCTCGGGGGGAAGCCTCGTTGGCGTCGAATTTGATTACAGGTGTCCCCCAGTTTTAGTAGGACCTACTGTCACAAAGTGACACGTGAACTGAGGTTCCTAGGTAATAAAAAAACTCTCATGTTCAGCTGACCGCCAATTAAATTTCATACAAAATAAATAAGAAATAAAAGATATTATCTCATTCTCCCCATAATCTCTCTCTTCAATGTCATCTTGTCTCAATCCTTTGCTTTCTTTCGAGATCTCCATATTTGAAACCCTAGAGATTTCTTTGAAGGCCAAATTCATAAATATTGGTTTCCTTCTCTCCAAGGCGTTGAGTTCCTTGCAATACGTGGATGCAATCCTTTTGTTCGCATTCTTTAGTGGTGAAACTTGAGTTTTGACGTTTTTCCTGATGATGTTCACCCGACTACGAGATCAGTGATCCCATTCAACAGCATGATCAGTGTGGTGGTCGGAAGACCATGATGATCAAGAGCATTGTTTGGATCAAACAATATTGCACAATGCAATTTATACAATAGATGAAGCAACAATCTCAGCCTAATAGATTGTAGTTGTATACGGTAGCTCCACCGGAAAATGTCCAAACTAAAACCTCGACTACTTTGGATGAGAAGAATAGATGAAGAAACGTATAACGCGGAAGTAACGACACGATGGTTTACGTGGTTTCTCCGAAGATCGGGACTAGTCCACGGAGAGCAGAGCTCTCAGAGATGGTTTTCACTATGATAGCAGCTAGGGTTGCGGCTGCTTCATCAAGTTCTAGCCAAAAGGCTACAAGCTTATATACCCTTCTACTTGACACACGGGTATATAAGTACAATTACAAAAGACATCAACCACATAGTAAACTGTACAAAAGAGTCCAGGTCTAATACTCCCCCTCAAGCTGGAGCATGCAGATCACGAATGCCAAGCTTGCATAACAAGTGGTGAAACTTATCAGCACCTAAAGCCTTCGTAAAAACGTCTGCAAGTTGAGACTGCGTCCCAATCCTCTGCGGTGAAATTTCGCCGGAAGCAACGCGCTCACGAACAAAATAGCAGTCCATCTCTACATGCTTCGTGCGCTCGTGGAAGACCGGATTAGCTGCAATATGCAGGGCAGCTTGATTATCACAGTAGAGAATAGTAGGACGCCGTTGGGGAACCTGTAACTCATGAAGCAAAAATCGCAGCCAAACAATCTCACTGATAACACTAGCCATGGCACGATACTCGGCCTCTGCAGAAGAACGCGCGACAACGCGCTGCTTCTTGGCACGCCAAGAAATGGGGGCCGCTCCAAGTGTGATGTAATAGCCTGTCATGGAACGGCGAGTAAACTGACAGTCGGCCCAGTCAGCATCACTATACGCAGTAAGCTCCAACGAACCAGTGGCGGGAAGGAAGAGACCTTGTCCCAGAGCAGACTTGAGGTAGCGGAGAACACGATGCGCAGCAGCCACATGATCTGGACTAGGAGCATGCACGAACTGGCTGAGGAGGTTGACTGAATAGGCAATGTCGGGGCGAGTGATAGTGAGATAAAGTAGTCTCCCAATGAGCCAGCGATAAGAACGCACATCCGGGGCTCGCGCGTCAGTGGGACGAGTGAGTGTGTGCCCCGCTTCCATGGGAAATTTGCTGGGGCGGGCAGCACCCAAGCCCGAGTCGGCGAGGATGTCCAACGTGTACTTCCGCTGACTCAGGACAATGCCTTCAGGCTGGCGACTTCAATACCCAAAAAATAATTAAGAGGCCCCAAATCCTTGATGCTAAAACGCTGGTGGAGGAAGGTCTTAAGCCGAGCAATGAAATCCAAATCAGAACCAGTGATCACCACGTCGTCGACATAGATAAGAACTGCGACAAAGGCGTCGGCGGCTTGGTAGATGAAGAGAGAGTGATCCGCCTTAGACATGACAAAACCAAACTCAAGAAGAGCTTCTGTAAACTTGTTGTACCAGTTACGGGATGCCTGTCGCAGCCCGTACAAGGACTGGCGAAGACGACAAACACGATCATCACCATCAGTGAAAAAACCAGGAGGCACGCGCATGTAAACTTCCTCATCAAGGTCACCATGCAGGAAAGCATTGTTGACGTCGAGCTGATGAAGTGACCACCCACGCTGAGCAGCAAGAGCTAACAAGACCCGAACTGTGACTAACTTGGCCACTAGGGCAAAGGTGTCGTGAAAATCAATCCCTTCCAACTGAGTGAAACCCTAGGCAACAAGACGAGCTTTGTAGCGATCAACCGTGCCATCCGGGTTATACTTGATTTTGTAAACCCATTTACAGTCAATGAGACGTTTGTCGGGGGGCAGGGGCTCCAATGTCCAAGTACCCTGTGCTTCGAGAGCCATGATTTCCTTTTGCATTGCCGCCTTCCAATAATCATGCCGGATGGCTTGGTGAAAATATCGGGGCTCGTCATGTTTGGACAAAGCAGCCAAGTAAGCAAGATGAGTTGGTGAGAAGCGATCATAATTAACAAAATGGGACATAGGGAATTGAACATGAGAAGCATTAGTGGAAGGCAAGTCTACCTCATATATATTGAGTCCAGAGGGAGGGCGCCTGTCACGTGTGGGATTGCGACGGGGGGCCATGGGGGCTGGAACTTCAGGAGCAAGAGGCGATGGGGCAGGAGCATCATCATGACTGGCCTCCACATTTTCCTGCGAAGTCTGGAGCGACAGGGGTGACGCTGAAGGGGAATGATCATCTTCCTCGACCGACGAGGCCAAGAGCTCCGCGGCAGTGCAGTCCGCTGGCTCGTCGTCTGCATGCATGGCAAGATCAACGTGAAGAGGAGCTGGGACGCGGGGGCAGTGAGGATCATTGCCATTATTCGAGACATCATCCTTGCGAATGAGGAAAGGAAAGACATGCTCGACGAAATGAACATCGCGAGAAACGATAATCTTCCTCATTTGCAAATCGTAAATGCGATATCCCTTCTGTGTACCAGGATACCCAAGAAAAACGCCAGCTCTCCCCCTGTCGGCGAACTTGTCAAGACTATGATGGGTGTCCTTAGCGTAGACCAAACAACCAAAGCTGCGCAAATGGTGATAAGTTGGTGAACGACCTAGGAGAACGTCGAAAGGAGTCTTACGAGATAGCACAAGAGATGGGAGACGGTTTATTAGATATGTGGTGGTCAGGACGCACTCCCCCCAGAAACGAACCGGGAGACCCGCATGGAACATGAGGGCACGCGCGGTCTCCAAAAAATGGCGATGTTTACGTTCTACCACGCCATTCTGCTGAGGGGTGTCCATGCAAGTCGTCTGAAGAACAATGCCGAACTCTTCATAGAAGCTGCGCAGCGAGTGAGTCTGAAACTCGAGACCATTGTCAGCCTGTATGCGACGAACCTGTTTATCAAACTGAGTGCGAACGAGTTGAAAGAATAGCTTGAGATAACGCTCAACATTAGATTTGAACTTCATCAGGTAAACCCAAGTGGAACGGCTGTAATCATCAACAATGGTCAAGAAGTAATGAGAACCATCCAGCGAGGGCGTCCGATATGCCCCCCAGATATCGACATGAATTAATTCAAAACAATCACTAGTTTTTATTGAACTGCTGGGAAACGGAGTGCGTGTTTGCTTAGCACGCAAACAGGAATCACAATGCAAAGAATTCTTCGAATCCAAAGAGCAACCAACAAAATCTCTCAACTGAACAAGTTTATCAAATGAAGGATGCCCGAGGCGAGCATGCCAGAAATCTTGCGACACCACTTTGCAAGCCTGGGGTCGAACTGGAGGTGATCCCGGTAGCCCATCAAATCTCCGAAGATAATAAAGACCATCCCTAAGTTGACCCGCTCCAATCAGCGTCCTCGAAGGTAAGGCCTGGATAACGCAGAAAGTATGCAAGAATGTCACTTCAATGTTATGATCTTGAGTCAAACGGCTAACAGACAAACGATTGCATTTGAATTCCGGGACATGCAGAACTCGGGTAAGCTTAAGAGAGTTAGACAAAGAAACAGAGCCCATGCCCTTGACCGAGGCGCCTGTACCATCAGGAATCTGAACCTGAGAGTGTACAAAAGAGTCGTCTACAGTATCCAGCCAAGAAGCATCCCGAACAATATATTCTTTACAACCTGAGTCTATTAGCCATTCATATAAATCAGGAGCGTTACCAGCCATGTGTGTCATAGGTACAGAAGGTGATTCCGCGGAGAGTAGCTGTTGTAGCTGAGCGAACTGTGAGGCCGTCAAACCAGGGACAGGAGACGAGTTGGGCTCTACATGAGCCGCTTTGGGTCGGCGGGAGTTGCCACTAGGATGCTCCTCTGCCGGTTTAGCTCGCGAATGACCCGCTGGGTAGCCAATGAGGCGATAACACATATCCTTTGTGTGCCCTAGTTTATTACAGTGGGCACAACACTGGCGATCACGATCATCACGATCAGCATAGGAATCGAGATCAGTCCGAGAATCCTTGTCGGAGCTGGCTTGGAAAACTGCAGTGTCAACCACAGGATGTCCACGCCCACTAGTGAGTTGCCTATGTTGTTCTTCGGAAGCAACCATCTGGTATGCTTCGGAAAGAGTAGGCGTGGGGCGGGTGCCGAGGATTTGAGAATGCACGACGGAATATGTATCGTCCAGGCCCATTAAAACTCGAAGAGGTGTTCCGTTTCTAGCTTGGTCTGATGCTAGCCGGGCAAATCACAGGTGCATCCCCCGCACGAGCAGCCCGCGCAAGTACATCGGGGCGCGCCGTCGAGAGCCTGTTTCTCGTCCCAAAGAGAACGCAAGCGAGTGTAAAAGCTGGAGACCGAGGACTTGTCTTGACGGGAAGAGCCCAGTGTACGACGAAGCTCGTAGGCGCGTTGAGCAGAACCCTTGCTAAATCGCTTCTGAAGATCGAGCCAAATTGCACGGGCTGTAACAGCTGTTCGCACGCTATTTCGCACCTCGCGAGTCATGTCGGTCTTCAACCACCCCTTGACAGTCGCATCACACCGATCCCAAGCTGCTTGGTGAGGAGCAGAACCAACTTGAGCACGAGGAAGAGTGCCATCCACAAATGCCATTTTATTCTTGGCGATTAGGGTTTCAGTGATGTCATTGACCCACTCACCGTAGTTCGAATCGTTCAATAAGTCAATGCCAAAGAGCTGGGCAAGATTCTCTGAAGGGTGCAGGTAAAGAGGAGAGCTGATCGGGATTTTGCTGTCGTCACCAACGGAGCCAACAGACGTGCCGCCAGATGTCTCGTCCTTGCCCATGATGAAGAGAGGAAACGATGCTCAATCTTAATGCTCTGATACCATGAAGAAACGTATAACGCGGAAGTAACGACACGATGGTTTACGTGGTTTCCCCGAAGATCGGGACTAGTCTACGGAGAGCAGAGCTCTCAGAGATGGTTTTCACTATGATAGCAGCTAGGGTTGCGGCTGCTTCATCAAGTTCTAGCCGAAAGGCTACAAGCTTATATACCCTTCTACTTGACACACGGGTATATAAGTACAATTACAAAAGACATCAACCACATAGTAAAATGTAAAAAAGAGTCCAGGTCTAATAATAGAAGGAGAAGGCGTTGTATAGACAAGTTCCGCTAGAGTTCCTTTAGACTTGCTTTTATCGATATTGGCAGCATATAAGCTATTTGATTCTTGCAAGATTTATTCTTACCTTGGGTCATGGCGTTTGCTAGATCTAGTAGGTTGAAGGACCTACAGAGTCCTCCTTTAAGGTGTCACGCATTTTAATAGATTGATGATCGATTGTGCAGGACGGTCGTGTCCAGTCACACAGTATTGAAGTCTACATTTGCTTTTTTTATGCAATCAAATTGAAAATAAATTAAACATGGGAATAAAACATAAGAAGAAGTGATTGCAAAATTCATATATACCAAGAATCAATAGTTACAAAGTCTAAAGAAACTCTAGAGTTCGCAAACCTACATAACTGAAGAACTAGCCGGTCATAGGCAGGACATCAGTCAAAGGCGAGGCTCCCAAAACGGCCTAAAATTTGACGATCAAAAAGGAAAGTTGGCACTTGGGGCACCAATTCTGCCGCCGATACGCCCTTGATTTTTGGTCAATTTCAGGGTTTAGGGAGTTGTTGTGGCCGGTGTATGAGGGTCCAATTTATGTCTCGACCGGCTAGAATCCTATGCGAATTTATGACCTTCACCCAAACTCCGTTTTTAGCTTCCATCAACTCTCCTTGATGTCTCCCACTTGTTCAAGGTACTCAACTAGGATACTTTGGTCTGAAACACATATGAAACACTATCAGTAGTGCATCAAATTAATAAAAGCAATCATAGGAGCTACTAAGCATACCTTTGAGTGATTAGTAGGAATTTTCAAGCAACGATGGCAATAAAGATATCAAAACTAGGCAACATTTGCCATAAAATAAGGGTATAAAGTAGTAATTTTCACATGTCATCAAATATCTCACTCTTGAACTTTGCTTGTTCTCAAGCAAACCAAACTCACAATCATACAAATCACTAGACCTCTACAATGACACTTAACTTTCGATCATAGTTAGTGGATCATAAGTAGCTTACAAGGTTAGATCTCAAACTTAAAGAACCATACCACATCGGTGAGGTGCATATCTTGTACGGATAATCTGGACAGTAACCATCAATCATAAGCCCTTAACTCAACTTGAGAGTCTAAAAATGTACGAGGTGAAGCTTTTTGCAAACTTTTTTTTTACGTTTAAGCATATCTCTATCCTTGTTTGACAATGACAGGTTCTAATTTTTCTATTTTGAATTTGCATGTCGATTTTGTTCCTTTTTAGCGTAAGTGGGTGTTTTTGTTTCTTACTACGTGTTCATGTAGAGGTAGCAATTTTGTGTCTTAGTATGAACATAAGGATTTTGTTTAACACCTTATCATCGATCTGTGTGGAGAGAAAATGCTGTGGAGGGGGTTCAGTAGCTTTATCTATGAAATCTAAGCACAATTCTCAAACAACATTTCACTCAGCAAGGGATAGTACTTGATAAGCAACATTGTGCAACCGTGAACTCGATGCTCAATCGAATCTTTCATATTTCCCCTTTGAAATGATTGATTTCCTCACATGTTTGCATTCATTTTACCCCACACTTTATTTGTAAATGAAGCGTTCTTTATTCCACTTGGCGGGGAGGATTTTTTGTGTAAAAAGATATATATGTTGTTCACCCAAATGAAAAATATTTGAAGCACAGAGGCACACTAGAAGAATTTAAGAAATCATGAAGGATAGTGACAAGCATTGGATCCAGACATATTGGGTCTTTAGTCTCATGACGAGGACATCATTCATAACCACTACACTAGCCTCCCTACATCACGTATCAACACAAAGAGTAGCAATTCAAGTAAGATGAACTTTGGAATTGTGAAAGGGAGTGTGCCATTATTGCAAATTTCAAAATTATAATGCACGATGATCACACAATTTTTCCTCATATGCATAGATAAAATCAGCTTCTACATGGTATATGCATGAAGTGCAATCTACTAAACTCACCCCACACTTTAAATAGGATAATGTCCTCAATGACCCAAGCAAAGCATAAGGGTAAAGCATAACAAAGCATAAGGATAATGTCCTCAATGACCCAAGCAAAGCATAACGTACCAATCAAGTTTATTGTTTAATGAACCACATCTAAAAAATTATAGATGAAAAAGATAAAGAAATATGAGCTATCTCTAGTTAGTACATTTGCTTTGACGTCTCCAATGCTTCCTTAGCCTAAGTGGGAACTTAATTTAAATTATAGAAAGAGTTACCTCCCATGAGCGCCCTTTCCATTATATCTTTGAGCTAGGCGTGGACATTGTTTTTTTGTTCATACGAACAATGTGGATGTACT